CTCCCCAGCAAACGGCCTTCAGAATGTGCACTCCCCGCAGACACACCCTCCCCGATGTGGACAGGCGACAATGACCATGCTTAAGCACCTGCTCCCAGCCAGGTCTCTGCCCACGTACCATGGACACGCACGTCAAATGCTCACGGAGAGGTCCAGGCCTGGCTGCTGGGCACACACACCGGGCATTCGTTCACGCCCATTCATTCCTTAAACGTTCATTGAGTTCCTACTCCGCACGGGGCAGTGTGCTCGGTGTGGACGGGGCAGACAGCAGCAAACAAGACAATCCCTGTTCCCACGGGGCTGCCATTCCAGTCCAGCACAAACACACACACACACTGGGTCCACCCACGTCTGTGTACGCCACACACACAACGGCTAACAGCGGAGAGGGTGCCGACTTGGTGTGTCTACTTGGTCAGCAGAGCGTGGATTCTAGAGTTCCCTGGGTTCCAGTTCTGGCTCCACCGGGTGAATGACCTCTTGGGCCTCAGTTTCCGCATCTGCACATTGGGGAGAATAATGGGCCCAGCCGCAGGGATGTGTTGGGATGAGGAAACAAGTTGGTAAATGGGAAGTGCTTAGAACCAACCACAGCCCAAGTGCCATGTCGGGGGGAGGAGGAGGAGGATGGTAGTGATGGTGGAAACTGATGCCCAGAGAAGGTGTCACTTAGAGTGTAGGCCCTACACTGTAGGGCGTCATGGAACAGCTGAGTGGGGATGCGCACAGATCACAGACACACGAGGTTGAATGTCCCCACCTCCGGGGACACCACGTGGTGCACACACCCAGAGGGAAGCTGTCTCCGCCCTGCCCACCCCCCAGCTCCCAGCCCCCCCTCAGCTCCCAGCCCCCCCCCCCCCCAGCTCCCAGCCCACCCTGCAGCACAATCCTGTCTCCCAGATGCGCTCCTCCATCCCCGTGTCGCACATCCGCGCCGTGGAGCGTGTGGACGAGGGCGCCTTCCAGCTGCCGCACGTGATGCAGGTGGTGACGCAGGACGGCTCGGGGACGCTGCACACCACCTACCTCCAATGCAAAGTGAGCCGCCGCCAGGCTGGGGGGCGCGGGGCGTCCCTTGAGTCCCACCTCACCCCTGACCCCCCACTCCCTGCAGAACGTGAACGACCTCAACCAATGGCTGTCGGCCCTGCGCAAGGCCAGCGCCCCCAACCCGGACAAGCTGGCCACCTGCCACCCCGGTGCCTTCCGCGGCGCGCGCTGGACCTGCTGCCTCCAGGCGGAGCTCTCAGGTGAGGGGGCAGGGCGGGCTCAGGCTCCGCCCACCCCACCTGTCAATCAGCTGTCTGGGCTCGCTGAGCAGCATGGAGCGAGTTACTTCACCTCTCTATGCCTCAGGCTCCTCAAGGGCGGAATGCGGTTGGTAACAGGCCTCCCTCCTACGGTTTTGTGAGGATTAAATGTGGGGTATGATCCTGTACGCACCCACTTCGCACCAGGCATCTAGTGGTCCACAGACAGGCATCAGGCCTGCTCTCAGGGAAGACAAGCGAATAAGCAGGCACTTGTAATACAGCTTCCTAAGTGCCAAGACGGGCTTTGGGGACTCCAGAGGACGGGCAGGAGATCAAGGAGGGCTTCCTGGAGGAGGTGCTGCTTAGATGTGACCTGAGAAGAGTAGGAGTGGAGCAGCGAAGCTGGGTTCAGGGATGGGTAAGGAAGGATGTTGCAGGCGAGCAAAGGCCTGGACTGGAGGCAGAGAGGGCAGGAAGGTTAAAAGGCTCTGTGTGGCTGGTGCCTAGACTGTGGGAGGCTGGAGAGAGGTGAGGCCACTGCTCTGCTGGGCGAGGGTGGAGGCAGAGGGTCTTGAAGTAGAGGTGGAAGCGGCAGGGCTTGGTGACAGCCTGCCTTGGGAGTTGGGGGGGGGGGGGCGGGTGAGAGGGGTTATGGATGATGCTGTGTCCCCTCAGCTGCCGGATGCAGCCACACACACTCGGCTGTCACCCTGGGAGACTGGAGTGACCCACTGGATCCCGATGCTGAGACGCAGATGGTGTATCGGCAGCTGCTCCTGGGGCGGGACCAGCTCAGGTGGGTGCCCCCCCCCCATCCCACTTCACCCCCAGGACCAGCTGGGCCAGCTGCCCACTGAGACCTCCCCTACTCATTTAGTCATTCTTTCCAAGCGCATCAGCTGAGGGTGGGGTGCGAGGGTGGGGAAGCACCCTCAGGTGGACCCTCATCCCTGGATCTTAGCATCTTCTAGTACCTGGGGCTCCAGAGACCGTGGCTGTGCCCCTTCCCCTCCCTGGTCGCAGGGTCATTGTTATCCAGCGACAGACATTTGTTCCAACTCATTGCAGAGTGGGTGCTGAAGCTGGCCTGCGTGGGTTCAAATCCTGGCCTGGCCACGAGCTGGCTGTGTGGTCTTGGGCAAGTTGCTTACCTTCTCTGTACCTTAGTTTCCTCTTTTGGAAACGAGGGTTAGTAACAGTACCCACCTCATGGGGTTGTCCTGAGGATCAAATGAGCTAATACAGGTAGATCCCTGTGTAGGTGCCGGGTAGCTTTCGATAAATGGTAACTACTGTGATGCTGTGCAGCCTTAGGCAGGTTATTTACCTCTCTGTGCCTCAGTGACCACCAGTAAACGGAGGTAATAGGAAGCACCTACCTCAGATCCTTTTTTGTGGTAATTGAATAAGTTAACCCATCAAAAGGCCGAGACTCTATAGACCAGTGGTTCTCAACCTTCTGGCCCTTTAAATACAGTTCCTCGTGTTGTGACCCAACCATAAAATTATTTTCGTTGCTACTTCATCACTGTCATGTTGCTACTGTTATGAATCGTCATGTCAATATCTGATATGCAGGATGGTCTTAGGCGACCCCTGTGAAAGGGTCGTTTGACCGCCAAAGGGGTCGCGACCCACAGGTTGAGAACCGCTGCCATAGACACTGGCTGTGATGAGGATGTGGGTGGTGCTGGTTAGAGAGAACCTGAATGTCTCCTGCAACCAGCAGAGAATCCCTAAGGCAGGGCTCAGCCTTGTCTTTCTCCCTTTCACTTTCTAGGATGAAATTCCTGGAGGATTTCAACATGGATTCAAGTCCGGAGGCAGACATGGAGGACTCCGGTGCCATGGAAGGTAAGGGTCAAGTTAAGGCGGTCCCTTTCCTTGGCGTGCTGACACCTCCCACAACCTGCAAGTACATCCCTGAGACCTCCAAGCCCCTCTCCTGTATCCACCAGCAGGCCCAAGGCTGCGTGTGTGGGTTCTAGTCCCTTTAAGGATTCTCACGGCACCAGGCAAATCTGGAGCCCGAGAAGGCCACTGGGTGTGGGTTCTGGCAGCCTGCCCTGACCTGGCTAAGCCCCTGGGGCCCCCTTGCCTCCCTCCCAGGGGCCTGTCCCGATGCCCTGGCTGGGCAGAGAGAAGCAGCTTCCCGCCTGCTGGAGGTGCTGGAGGACCTGAATCGAGCCCATGAGGAGTTCCAGCAGCAGGAGCAGAGGAAGGCGGTCTCGGGTCCCCGCGGGCCCTGAGGAAATGCCACAGGCGCCTGGGAGAAGAATGAGGAGCCACTGGGCCCGTCTCGGCGCACCCTGGCCCAGGAGTCTCCTTGCGACTGTCCTGTACCTTCTTCGTCGATGCTGAGGCTTCCGGAGACCTCCCAGTCCCGCGTGCTCTAAGCCCAAAGCCTGGTGCATGGAGGCAGGGGCCAGCCTCGCACTGAAGGAGTCTCACTCTCTGAGTTGACTGGGTTGAGGCAGACTGGAGTGGCTGGGATAAGGAACCTGACTCATTTGGCTCAGCCTGAGGTCTCTGCTTCATGGGACCGGCCTCTACCCACCCCACTGAGGCTGCTGGATACAGCTGTACCTGAATCCCTCATGCCCATGTGGCCTTGTTGCCCCAGGCAAGCACTAAACGGGCTCAGCCCTTCCTGTTTTCACGTCTGCCAATCACTGTACCCACACTGATCCTCCTGGGCGGACGGTCCTAACCACAAGCTTCCAGAATCAGGTGCCTGAGGAAGAACAGGCTGGGAGCGCAATGTGCAAGGCCCAGACAGACCCTGGGAGTCTGGGACACCTTCAGCCAGGCTCCTTTCCCCCTTTGAGCCTCAGTTTACCCTGTATAAAACGAGGAGGGAGTGACTTAGAAATAGCTCTGGAACCAGGGAGGAGTTTCTCAGAGTGTGGCCCCAAGACTCCCCTCCCCCGGGGTGTCTGCTAGAAATGCAGCTCCCTGGGCTGCGCGGGGATCTTCTGCATCACAACCTGAAGGAGTGTGGGTGGGAGGAGTCAGGATTCTTAACAAGCTGCTCAGGTGACCTGGATGATCATGGGATTTGAGGATCACTGGGGCTGGGCGATTTTACCTATTAGAGTTTGGGGTGAGAGCCTGTTGAAGAATGAATCCCAGAGGATAAAATGTTTGGAAACACCCAACGGTCAGACCTGGTAGGGCCTCCAAGGACTCTGGTTTTGTGTGACTATAGGGTGGAACAAAACCTACCTGAATTGGGAGGTGGAGCAGGATGCGGCGCTATCCCATGTGTGGCCAGCAGGGGTCGCTTGGAGCCGCAGCACCCGCAACAGCCACCTGGGCATTCCTGGTTGTTGCAAACGCCGATCAGAAGCTTGTTGCAGATCCTGGGATTGGCTCTTCCCTCGGTAGACAGAACCTGGCCCTCCTCCTCCAGGGCAGAGACTGGGGTTCGGAGGTACCACGGAGCTGGTCATGCGTCTCCCAGCTTTCTCCCATACTTTCCCAGAGGCGCTGAGCTCCCAGCCGAGCCCCTCATTCCTAGTAATTGTACCAGGGAGCACTGATTGCACTGCTTGGTGCCCCTGCCCGAGAACAAACCTTAACCTCTGTCCTCTTGGGTAGGTCTGCCTCTGCCACCATCAGGACAAGAGAATTATGGGGACCCTGCCTCTCCAGCTGCCCAAGGCCAAGAGGGCAACGGTCCTAGGGTCGTCACAGAGCTGCCCCCCGCCCTCCTTCCTGGGCAGGAAAAGACAGGGCGAGGAGGAGAAAGACCGTTTATTTCTCCACCCACAGTGGGACTGGTAGGTTTTCAAAAGAGCGATCACTGGCGTCCCTTTAATTCTTGGCTGACTTCCACCGTGGCAGCCAATCAACAGAGGCGGAGCTGGTGAGTTGCCTGGGCAACAGGCCCCTGGTTGGTCGAGACCATCAGCCACCCCACTGCCCACTTCCAAGCAAGGGAAATGGACGCTCTGCTCTCCAGTCTGCTTTTTCAGACCCGCTGGCTTAAGCCAGGCCTCCTCGCCTCGCTCCCGAAGCCAGAAGCCCCGGCCTTTGGGTCTCGACATTGGAAACGACTTGGTGGGGAGGATGGGGTGGGAGGAAAGGAGAACAGCGCCTTTATCTGGGACAGACCTAGGCCTGGGGATGGGAGGGGCGGCGGAGGAGGAGGAGGTCAGGGTCCCAGAGGATGAGGAGACACGAGCACAAATGATACCTCTAGGCCCCCTCTCTCTGGCCGGCCCCTTTGCAGAACTGCTCAGGGCAGAGATGGTGACACAGACGGGGTCAGCGGAGCTCCCCAAGGGCCCCCTTCTCCCCCAGGAGCCCCAGCAGGTCCCTAAGTGCTTGACCTGAATCCTGCTGGCAGACAAGCTTGTATGGACGGAGGTGACAGACACACACGGGATCCACATGGAGTGTCACAGGGTTCTTCTGTCTCTTCCCCCCCAGATTGGGGGCAAGTAGAGGCACGTGGGTGTGCGTGCATGTGTTCAACGGGACACTGTTTGTGTGAGGGGTGGGAGGGAGGTCGCTGTGGTTTCTGGTGCTCTCCCTGCGACCCTCCCAGAGTCGGAGCTGGCTGGCCTGCCGTCTTCCCATCATTCCCAGTGGCCATCAGCCAAATGTCCAGAGCGCTTCTGGCTTCTTCCATAGGCTCCTCCCCAGCCCTGAACCTGGGCCACCAGGAGGACACACCTGGTGGAGGGAGGCCTGTGCTGGGCCAGGGGCGAAGCAGGAGGGAAGGTGGGCAGCCTGGGGTCTCAGGCTTTGGCCGTGGCCTCCGACACGCCCTGGGCTGTGAGCTCGGCCAGCACGTTGTCTAGGTAGCTCGCGTCTGGGTAGCCGTGGCCCGTGAGGTTGGATCCGAACTCGGTCTTGTGGTGGATCTCGTTCCACACCACGGTGTCCGACTCGCCCGTGGTGTTGGAGGTGCCGATGGTGAAGATGAGCCTCCGCTCCCAGGCGGTGATGAGCAGTCGCAACACCTGCAGAGCCGGGTGGTGGGCGGGGTCAGAGGTAGCCCCGCCCACGGCCCCCTCCAGCCCCGCCTCCCCTCCCTGCCACACTGTGGCTCCACGAGGCCAACTGAGCCCAGCAGGAGGCCCTGTGGCTGCTGGGTTTGGCCGTTTCCTTCCCTGGACAGACTCGTTCCAAGTTATCTGCCTGTTTTTTCTGGGGTGAAGGGAGGGTCTCAAAGCGATGGCCCCCTGCAGCTTGGTTTGGACCCCACACTATGTGACTTCGTTGGCAATATTTAAAAACCTGCAGATTTCACATGAAAATCAGCATTTCTGGCTTCTCTCGAAAAACAATAAGTAGAAGCAGACACAACACCTATAATGTGGTGGTGAAAAGCCTGGACTGCTTGGGTTCAAATACAGGCTCCACCACTTCCTGGCTGTGTGACCTTGAGCAAATTACTTGCCCTCTCTGAGGCTGTTTCTTTATCCATAACATGGAGCCAAGACCTTGACCTCAGCAGTGCCTGGCAGGGCTAGACGCACACTAGGTGGTCCCGGGCCCTGCTGGTGTGGGGAGGAATGGGAGAGCAAGCCCTGGCCGACAGCCCTGCAGCCTCACGACACCCACCTTCCGGCCCTTCTCGTTGTTGGGCAGATAGCAGTGGCGCGGGAAGCCTCTGGCGGTGAACTTCTTGCCTGGGTTGGGGTGCTCAGGGCCCTGCGGAAAGGAGCAGCAGGGCTGGAACCACAGGCAGGAGTGGGGGGGCCCTGGAGGGGTCGGAGGAGTTGGGGTCAGGGGCCCGAGGGGGCTCACCTGGATGCCTGTGGGGATGTCATAGACAATGCGGATGGTCTGGGTGTCAGCGAAGCCAGGCAGCGAGTGGGGGATGAGGTGGAACTCCATCTTCCCGGGGGGCTGAGTGCCCGTCTTCTCCCCGTAGATGGCCTTGCAGGTGGGGCACTGCAGGCTGCCGTCCTGCAGCAGGGGAGGCTGGGTGAGGTCCCCGGAGGCCCCGGCTCCGCGGGGCTCCCTCGCCAGCCCCCCACGCACGGCCCCCCAGCCCACCTTGTTGCCGTTGGAGTACATGGCCACCAGGCACAGCAGGTGGTACATGTGGCCGCAGCGGCCCAGGCGGCCCACCAGCTCGGGCCGCACGCCCTTGCGCCGCAGCACGCCCTCGTAGCCCGACGCCGTGACCAGCCGCTCCATGCAGATGGTGCAGTCCTGGGGCACAGGGGGCAGGCTGAGGGCTGGGCAGGGCAGGACGTCCCTTCTCGGGCACCCAACTATCACAGGGAGAGGACGCCCATCTACCAAATTCAGATATATGGTTCCCCCCCCCCCCAAAGAGATTAAAGGACAGTCAGCAGCAAAACCTAAAAACTATGGGTGAAAATAAGATACAAAAACTGTCAATCGCCAAAAGATTGACACCTGTGATTCTATTACACTCAGCTTTCTGTTTATCAAAGGACATTGTGAAGAGAGGGAAAAGGCAAACCCACAAACTGGGAGGAGGGACTGTAACAGAACCAGGAGGAATTCATATGGGGGGGGGGAAGGGAGGGGAGAGAGAGGGCTCTCTGCAGGCAAGGCCGCCCTCAGCCCAGGGCCCCGCGGCCTCTGGCACTCACCTCATCAGGTGGGTTCTTCACCTTCTGCATGTACCTTCGAACCACATCCTCAGGGTTCTTACCTGCAAGGACACAAGGGGGTGGGCTGGAGGCGCCCCGAGTCTACCCCAGGCCGCAGGTAGCAGCTCGGGATGGAGTCAGGGTTGGAGAGTTGGGGTTGGCAGGGGTGAAAGGTCAGGGGTTGCTGCAGGTGGATGTAGAGTTCGCGCAGAAGGGGTCGGGGGAATGGGAATTGAGATCAGGAGATGGAGGTGAGGTCGTCAGTCCAGGAGCAAATCGGAGCTGACCGTCAGAGGGATTGTGGTCAGGGTTAGCGGGGTTCAGTTCAGGGGTGGGGGGCGGGGGCGCGTACTTTTCTTGAGGTGCTTCTTCTTGGTCTTGCGGCACACCCCAGGCACACCGGGCACGGGCTTCACGTCGCTCTTGCTCACCGGCGGCGGGTGCAGGATAGGTTTGGGTGCCCGGGTCAGGCACACGGGCAGCCCAGCGGCGCAAAGCAGGATCCCGGTCATCCCTGGGGGCGTGGCCTGGGCAGTCAGGGGCGGGGCGCCCTCCAGGCCCCGCCCACCCTGCACTTCCCACCGTTGTGTTATCGGGTGTACGCATGGGGCCTCTCTCTCAGACTCCGCCTACCGCCTTGCATCCAGGGATCTTGGGGTTCTCAGGCTCAGGTGGATGAGCGGGGTGTGCCCTGGGCCTCTCCCCTCAACCCCACCCCAGGGTGAAGCCAAGAAGAATGCCTTCTGCGGGCCCCGCCCACCCTGGTGTCATGAGAGAGAGTGTGTGTGTGTGTTCTCGGGGCCCCGCCCACGAGCTCATTAAGGGGTGGAGTCAAGAAGCCAACAGGTGGGCCCGCTTCCTGGCTTCCTCCTGGGCTGGATCTCACCTGCCAGGGCCGGGTGGACTGGGCCGGTCCCATTCAAGTTCTTCACCGGGAGCGCGGGGACCCTGAGGGGAGAAGAGAAGAGGCTGCAGTCCCCACACCAGAGGATCCAGGGGCCCTGGGCACAGTGTGACCGCTTTGTGCCTGTGCCAGTCATCCAGAATGATCCCAGGGCACTCCATGCCTACTCCCACATCCTTCTATGATAAGGTGGGTGTGGCCAGGACCCCTAGACTTGGTACCGACTCTCCCCCAGTCTTCAGCCGGCCTCCTCCCTGGTCAGAGCACCTGTTCCAACGGCTCCCTTTCACTGGCCACTGTGCCTGAAACCCAGCCATCAGCGACTTAGTCATTCCCGCCTCTCTCACAGTTTGCTCTATGAGGCACTAATCCCCATCAAAGGTTTTGGGAAAGAAGGATTCTGGGGTCCAGTAAGTTAGGAAACACTTCAAAGTCTCCCTCTTGGAAAATTTACAACATGTATGAGCATATGAAAGGTTCTGATAAGTCCTGCATCAGGAAATATGGTTAGCGATGGCAAACCCAGGTTGTCCAAAGACATTTGATAATGAACATTTTTTGCATCTCTGCAATATCTACTGCCGTCAGGTCCTGAGACGTAGGCATCGTCCTCTCTTCAAATGAAGAGGCCCTAGGAAATGCAGTCTGCTTGTCCTCCTCGCCCTCCCCCAGAGAGCTCTGACTTTTGGAAATCACCCAGAGCTGCTCTCACATCTCAGGTCAACCACTGACCAGCTGGGTGGCCCCCAGCACATCCTCCTCTTCCTCCTCCTCCTAAGCCCATAAGCCTGTTTCCTGTGCAACATGGATAGTGTGGCACCTTCCTTCTGTTTGCTGTGAAGAGTCAATGAAATTCCACACATCAAGGGCTGAGCATCATCCCCGGTACCTAAGAAAGACTCTAATAGCATTCACCATCATTGTCCCCATCGTCACTGTCCCTGTGTCATCTTGGATGAGTAGCTTCACCTCTCTGCACCTCCGCCCCCTAAATCATGGCGTGACTTCTCTTTGTCGTGGAGAGGAAACCATGAATGTATTGCAGTAACAAGCTGGGGCAAGTCACTTAACTTCTGTGAGCCTCAGTTTCCTTATCTGTAAAATGGGGATAATGACACCTCACCTATAGGAGCTGGGTGACAAAGCCTGCTGTGACCTGCACAGTGTGTCTGCCTGCGTCTTCCCGACCTCAGTGCTCAGCGGTGGATGGGCGTGGTCCCTGGATGGGTGCATTTTGATAAAGAAGTGTGTTCTGAAAGCCAGGGGGCAGCCCGAGGGGCCTGGGGGCTGTGCCAGGAAGGGGTGCAGGAAGGGCGGGGGCAGGGACAGCTGGGGAAGAAGCTGCTCCAGTCCCAGAGCCTGCTTGCTGAGGACTGAGCCTGGCTAATGCTGCCTTGTCACCGGGCCCTGGCAGGCACAGTTGGCATCAGGGAGCTGGCTTCAAGCAAAGAGTACGCTTGGCAGACTTGGGGGCAGCTCTGGCCCCGGTCGTGCTGAGCCTGTGGCCTGGGAAGGTTTTAGGTCTCGGCTTTCTTACGATTTCTGGCGCCCCTTAAAGACCACAGAGCCCTGGGTTACCAAAGCCAGTGTCGCTCCTGGGAGGAGCGTGGTGAGTGGGGCGTGACGGCGGCGCTGTTTTTTATTTACCTCTCCGTGAGCTGGGGGACAGTCCCAGAGCAGCCCCCAGCCCCTCTCGATCTGCAGGCTCCCTGCGAGAACCCAGGCAGCAGGGTTCCCACGACACCCGAGCGTGGGAGCCACCTGGGCCCCCTTTTGATGTGGGATGTGCTGCTTCCTCCAAGTCAGTGAGAACATCCTCCTGCCCTGGACAGGAGACCGCTGCCCGCAGGCCTCCCGGAAGCGGGGCCAGCCTCCACGCTCTGCCCCGCCCTTTTGGGGCCCAGCCTGGCAAAGGCTCACAGGAATCTTTAAATCCCCTTGAAATCTGCTCTGGCCAGAAGCCAGGCCTGGCCACCCCAGGGGAGAAATGTGTCCTGCAGCCACGCTGGTCTTCCTGCTCGTCCCCCGCCCCCATCAGATCCTGTTTGTCCTCTGCCCTCAATCCCTTATGGTTCCTACCTTGCTCAGAGTAAATGGGGCTGTACTGACCCCTGGAACTCCACTTCCCCCATGCTCACCCCCTATCCCCCCACCCCTGCTGCTCCTCACACATGCCAGGCACATTCCCACCCCAGGGCCTTTGCACTGCGGATGGATCCCTCTCCCAGAATGCTCTTCCCAGATATCCACATGTCCTGCTTCCTCACTTAACACAGGCTTCTGCCCCACTGTCTTCTTTTAATTAAAAAGAAAAAGGTTTTGTTGATTTTAGAGAGAGAGGAAGAGCAAAGGAGAGAGAGAAACATCATTCGGCTGCCTCCTGCACTCCCCCTACTGGGGATGGAGCCCACAACCCAGGTATGTGCCCTGACCAGCAATCCAACCAGTGACTTTTCGGTTTGGGGGATGATGCTCAAGCAACTCAGCCACTGTGGCAGGTTGTCCTAATAAATGTCTTTTTATCAGAGACCTTCCCCACCACCTGACTCCAGACACACCTCTTTCTTTGCTCCTAACTTACGTTTTTTGGTCACAGCACTGATCATGACCTGATGTCATAAACTCTTTGGCATGACCAGGCCCTCCCTGCCTCTGTGACCCCCTCTCCTACTCCCCCTACCTCTCTACTCTGGACACCCCTGCTGCTGCCACAACCTGCTGAGCACGGTTCCCTCTCAAGGCCTTCGCACTTGCTGTGCCCTCTGCCCCCGATGCGGGAGGGCTCACTCCATCTCTGTTGCAACCCCACCTCATCAGAGAGCCCCCTCCCCCAACCATCCAATGTCTCGCACATAGTCGATGTTCAGTGAACACTTATTTCGTGAACGAATGAAGGCAGCCTGGATTTTGGGGGGAGGTTCACAGGGGACACCTGTGCACGTGTTCCGGGACATTGTCCCCATGCATTTTTTTACACATCTGAAGGGAGCCTTGAGCAGGAGTCCCACAGAAGCACCCCCGGCAGGCGCTGGTCCTGGAGGTTCTCGGCCAGCATGCATCCTAAGTGACCACGTTCAGCGGCCTCCCGTGGGAGCAGCCCAAGCGAACGTCCTCGAGGAAATTCCCGGAAATGCTCCCCATCCAATTCGAGGCAGGCGTTCCGTGGCCAGGGTTTGGGGAGCCCAGCCAGTTCACACCGCCCTCTGCAGACAGGCTGAAAGGTGACTGTCTTCAGGAGGCCACTTCTGATCCCCACCGAGCGAACTCATGGCCACTCCTCCTCTGCATTCCCACGGGGCTGTGTTTCTCTTCTTTTGAGGACTCAGGCATGTTCGCTCCTGCTTTCTAGTTGTGTGGTTCCACCCCTATCTCCTCCCCCAGACTGTGAGCTTCTGGAAGCGTCTCGGCCCCGCCCTGTGACCCTCGGGTTGAGGACGAAACTCGCTCACATGGTTCTCAGTCAGTACTCCATGGGGAAGCTGAGCCCAATAAGGAAGTGCCCCACTCGCTCTGCGGTCTCTTCAGAGGGAGGTCTAGTATCTTTAGAAACAGGGGCTCCAATGCCAAGAGCTCCCCTCCCCCCAAGATTGGAGCAGGGATGGCAAACATATGACAGGTGTAGGACTACGCCCATAACAGGCATCACCAATCAATCCCAGCACTCCTTTCCATGGAGCCAGAAACGCAACTGCAGAATCCTCCTCAACTCAGTGCTCCCGGGAGTCGCTGCCATGTGAGCAGAGACGGCTCAGGATGGAATCTGTTCATCATTTATTTTTGCAGATGATGGGACTGAGGCCCAGAGAGGGGAAGTGACTTCACTAGGGTCACCCAGCTGGCTCTGGGTCCTGGAGTTTTGAATCAGTGGGCAGGGTGATCCCACCAGGCTGATCTGTGGGGCCATCTGGGAAGGTGCCAGCCTTCTGAGACCTCTGTGCCCTCCAGGTGGGCTGAAGCCTGTGCCCTGTGCCCTGGGCCCTGGAGCTGGCTCAGCCCTGAGCAGGCTGCACAGTGGGTCCCTCTGTCTGCTCGGGCCACTCTGCTCTGGCCCCGGCATCAAGGCAGTTCAGGGCCCCAGGACAGCAGGAAGCCACACTGACACTCCCTTAGGGCAGCTGAGTTTCCACCCCTCTACCTGCATTTGGTGTCCCTGCCCCTGGACGCCCTGCCAACTGTGTCACTGTTCTCTGATGATGGTTTCCAGGCCCCCCAATTGGCTTCAGGAGCCCTCAGAGCACCTGGCACTTACCCAGGGGCCCCTTGGGAGGCCTAGGGGAGCCCAGGCCTCAGTCATTCGGGTCCAAGAGGGTAAGGAGAGGGCAGAAATGAGTGTGCCATGTCATGGGGTTTCCATGCTCCCTGGGCCTGCTCCTGTCACCTGTCCCCTTCCAGTGCCCAATCCACCTGCCCCTGAACCCCTGCCCTCCACAGTCCTGGGCCCACCAGGTCCCGCCCACCCCCTCTGCAGAAGCCAGAAGCCTGAGGACACCCCGGCCAGCGCTGGGAAGACTGGGTACCCCACGGACCCAGCAAAACGTGCAAACCGTCTGGCTGCTGCCTGGAGGCCTTGCTCACGTCCCCTTTCCTTGCCCAGGTGCCTGTCTACTTGGACAAGCCCGGAGCTTCTATGGGCCTCAGTTTCCCCTCTGTCCAAAGGGCCTCTCACCCCTGCACACCCGTCCACTCCTAGGGGTGAAAGGGGCAAAAGCCCCCTAGGGAGACATTTTGAGGGGCGGTTGCCACTTGGGGGTCAGATTCACCCAGAGGCCTGGGGATCAGGGTCACCCTCCCCCACCTTCTTGGTCTCCCTGCCTGCCCAGTGCAGCGCTCTGCAGGGGGGGGGGGGGGGACGACGACTCAGTAGGGAGGGGAAGGGAGGGGAGGGGAGGGGAGAGGAGGACTGGGCTGGTTCCCACGGCCTGGGGCGTCCTGTGCAGACGGGAGTGTGTGGTTTGGCCTCCCAGGGAGCGGGGGCAGGAAGTGCTTCAGGTCTGCGGGGCGGGGTGGGGGTGTTTGGTTTGACCTTGTGATGAGGCTGAGGCGG